ATATCAATTATTTCGATAGCTTACGCACGTTCAGCTCTATCATTAAAATTTTAAAACTTCAACGATATTTTTTTTCGACGGAAATATACAGGGTCCTCCAAAAGTCCCAGAACGATCAAATATCTAAAAAATAAAACATTCTCGATAAAAATGTTTTAGACAAAAATTTAAAAAAATTTTAAAATACTATTGAATAATCTTATTCGTTTAACTTTAAGTGGAAAGGTTATGCAGTCAAATTTATATGCAGTTTAATTTTGTTTTTTTAAGTGAAACTCTCTATTTTTTATTGCATATTCTTATAGCTTATCTCAAGAGCTTTCCAAAATACTATAACAAAGTATTTTTTATAGTACTTTTCAAGTTATGAGACTTGAAATAATTATTAATTGTTTAATTTAACATAAGCTATGAAATATCTTGTAAAATATTCATTTTTCGATGAGATTATCTCAATACTATTACGCACAAAATAACGAGAAGAATCAATTAGTAAACATATAATTGTTTTTAAAAATTGTAACTGTTAATTGCAAAAGTTTGTAACTGTTAATTGCAAATTATATATTTTTTCTTAAAAACAATTATTATTTCAAGCTGCAAGAATAAGTAATGAAAAATAGGAAGTACTATTATAAAAAAAACAACGTTGAATTCTATATAACCCATTGAACCCTTTCAAAGTCAAATAGATATGATCACTCAATTGAACTTTTGAAATCTTAAAACTTTCATCTGAAACATTTTTTCCAAAAATGCCGTTTTTGAGATATTTGATCATTCCGAGACTTTTAGAAGACCCTGTATGATAAAGCAAGGATCGTGCAGTGCAGAACAAAATTTTATTTTATGCATCATAAAATTCTATCTGGTACCATCCTATCATCATTAACCTATAAATTGCGGCATGTCCGTCGTGCGTTAGTGATAAATGATAATTATATCTTTGTAGTGATATTCTGGTCCTAAATCTACCTGCGCGGCCCACGCCGATCATAAATGATTTTAGCGACTCGTCCCATTCCTGCGATTATGCATTTATGTTTCATTCTGTCTTATATGTCTTATTTATCACGTACGAATGCCATGATATTAAAATTATTAATGGCTACATAGATTAAAAATTTTATATTATAATCATATATTATGTGTGTGTGTGTGTGTGTGTGTGTGGGGAATTTTTTTATTTTAAATATTATGGTCAATTATTTTTATTTTCTATATTATTTTCTATATATTTCTTATAAGGAAAATTTTAAAAATTGTTAACATATTACACTATCGATCCACTTATATGACGTAAATGGAATATTTTTGCTTACAATACTTTATACAAGGAAGTTTCTACGAATGAAAATTGTGAAAAATGCAACATTAATCCAGCACATAAAATCTTATCTTTAATATTGCTGAGGTCTAGACTCTGATGATCGTTTTCTCTGACTCATTTTCGATAATAAACTTTCTTAATTTTTCACTGTTCAGTTACGTGTACCATCACTAGTACATATTTCCGATAATGGATTTTGTTTTTCATTTAAAAAAATAAAAATGTAAAGAAATAACGTATAACTTTTATCAAAGGTATTTAATCATTGCAGATCTTATTTTATCTGATAAGACAGTGCAGTCTGATAACAGCGTCGTGGAAAGTTCTTTTGTTTTTTTAAAATATTTCATAATGATAAAATGTCATGCAAGTAAATTAATTTTATTTTTAGTTGCATTTTAATTTTACTTTTAGTTTACAAATGAATATTAATTGACTATGAAAATACTTTTATATGCCTTTTGGAAAACTTTTAAAAAATATAAAATATAATATATTCACAGATATAAATAGAATCAAAAAAAATTAATCCCAATCACAAATCTAAGTAATATCTAATTAATAATAAATTAATAATCTAATAATATATAATTAATATTAAATTAATAATCTAATAATAATCTATACAATAAATATAGAAAACTTATATCATAAGTTTTTCTTCCTACTCTTTTCTTAAGAAATCCATTAGACATTTTATAAAAGATATCGAACGATAAAATGCAAAGATATTGCAATAAAAATGTATCAATGTCTCAATAGTGATTAAATTTTATCAGATATATTATTCTTATTATTTTTCCGGTTTCTACCCAAATCGTATTCCAATCTAAAATTTAAAAACGAAGAAGAAATGGAACCGTCACATTTTTTACAATTAGTTTTATGCTTTTTATCATTATTTCTTCATTGGTTTACCTATGTATTTCATATCCTGTTTTATATATTTGTTTTTTACGCAATAATATAATAACAATTGATACGTAGCTTAAAATTACGAATCATTATGAAAAGTGGCTAAGACCGATATAAAAATTGTTGAACAGAAAAATAATAAAATAACAAGAAGGGAAACTCGTACTTTTGCGGAACGTAATATGTAGGAATGTTTATGAAACTGCGACGCTGCGGGTGGTTAATATTAATTTAACGGTGAGCGCATTGTGCGAAGCTCGCAGGAAGATTATGGGATTAAGTTCACAACTGGTTTTGGGAGATTGGTCGTTCTATCTCCTTCAGCGTTTACCCGCTGCACGTGGATTAACGGAGCGCGGAAAAATGAGGTTCTCTTTTCTCGCTGTTCAATGAGATTGTTCTTAAAACAAAGTGCCCTTTTTTATGACAATGCGACATAAATGAGAGATCGGAAATCTTACGGAATTGAGAAATTCTTGTCTGAGGTTGCAAACTCTCTTTACATAACGTCTCAAAAAGATCGGTGATAAAATTAATAAATTGTTTTGATAAATCACTTTTATTTTATAGAAAAAAACTGTCAGATATATTAAATATAGTACAATATACAGTTTACGTACGCTATTTTTAAATCACAAAAATATATGATGTATGTGATTGTGAAGAATTTAATATGGTATATACGAGAAATTTTGCTCTTATTTCCAATCTCAATTTTCTCACAATTCTAGAGCCATTCCATTAATTTAATTTAGTTAGAAATTGAAAGAGTTTCTACTTTATATCTTAAGTAGATAAATAGATCTTAAATAACTGAATAAACAGTTTTTTATATTTACAGATTTAAGAAAGAAGTTTTAGACACAAATTAATTTAGACACATTAAATAGTTTCACAAGAAAATAATTTAAATGTATTTTTAAAATATCGAAATAGATATTAAGATGAAAATTAAAATGAAAGAAAGAAAATTTTCCCCAGTATTATTATTTTCTAAACAAATTATTTCATTTGCATTACAAAATTTAAAAATTCCATTGAGAATTACAACATTGTTAGAATCGTGTGTTTCGCTAAAAACAGATCTACTAAATACTTTTGAAAAGAGAAGTTAGATTTATTAAACATTTCTACACATTTCTATACATCTTTACTTTTATCGTAAATTTATTTTGATATGATTGAATTATGAATCATTTGAGAGATTTGAAAGATGCAAGATACTAAAATATCAATCCCGACATTGTCTCGCTGCAAGTTACAATCTTGTTTCATCTCTTGGTAATACTGGTATAAAATACTGGCCTATAAAAAAAAACTTTACCTTTTGTTATTCTCAGACTTCTTGGCATATATCTGTTTACACGCATCTTCCACATTTTCCACATCTTTTTTCTACATGTATGCATTCCTGCGATATTGCAAAGCGAGAAAATCTCTATATGAGAACAAGTTGCGAATGTGTGCAAATTTTAATTCAAGATTATTGCGATTAAAGTTTCGATAATTATTGTATGAACAACGTCACCTTCGAAGAATTATTGATAAGAAAATGTATCTCACCTTTATTTTTAGATTTATCTTGTGTGTGAATTTTTAATAAGTCATTTTGTGATATTAAAAATATTAATGAGTTGGGGCAAATGTACTAGAATTAAGTATTTTAACGTACGAGTTTCATGTTTTCTCACCCGCTTCTTTAACGCATCGTTGCGTTTTCCTTGAAGTAAACAGTTTGCATATGTCAACGAACTCAAGTGCATTAAGAGGGAAGCATTACGCTTTCGCTGCATATAAAACCAAACGACTTTGATCTATCGAAGAAAGTATAATTAAGGCGCGGAAACATCGTGTAAAGGTCATTATTCTGATTTATCATGTTCATTATCATAAATTTTCTTGATGTACTTGTATCAATTGCATTCCGCATCGTTGCAACATATGAACGATCGCTTCGCAACTAAACAACAAATCCATTTACTGATACCGATTAGGGATTCTTATCTCGCTCATTCGCCAATTTTCTACAACATGTATGCTACATGTCAGTACATATTGACGCATGTCGATCGATATTATAGCCATCGAGAACTCGTGTTTGTTGCGCAACGAGTAAAAAGATAAAAAAGTGACACATCGCATTATCTGATAATAATTAATAATGTATATATGTTGAAATATATGGAAACTTGTCGAATCGCTTGTACAGTTCTTTATCTGCGAATCTTCTACACCTTCGCTAAAAAAATTATTTTTCAAATTAGAGATTTTGTATAAGTTATTCACGTTTCAAGAATACATCGATTATGTATAATGAAAAAAAGAGATACAAAAAGGAACCGCGTTCTTTATAAGTCTGATCAAAAAAAGATTTAGCATGACGAGACGAAGTAACCCTAAAAATCCTAAAAATCATCCTGTTTTTTATTGAGCAATTTTATGTGCAATAATAAGTATTATTTTATCTAAAGTTTTAAAAAATAACGGTTACATAAAATTCAATAGTCTTAATAAATATTAAAATTTTTCAGATTAGATAATGTTTATGCACTGAAAAAGGAACCATCAGTTGCATAGTAAAAAAAATTATAGTTGAGATTTTTATTCTTGTAGTTATTACTACTATAATGTTGGTAATAATAACTTTGTGCACAGTAATAATAACTTTAATTTTATTGTTGACACTTAAAATAACTATATTTATAGTAATTACGACTATTTTTTATCAATATGTGTGTTCAGATCACGATTTTTTACTGTATAAATTGAAGCGCTAAAGGTGTTAAAATTCAAAATTTTTTAATCAGTCCTTCATAAGTCTGCAACGATGAATACCGTAACGTATCTATTTTTGTTGATTGCCATTTTTGCGACTGTCTCGATCTTTGATGTCATGGCTGAATCATCAGCTACAGCGGATGCTGCTTCGCGACCTAAGGTATAATTTTTTTATTTAATGAAAAAATATATTAAATATATATAAATATAAGTATTTAAAAATGTTAATAAATATTTAAAAAACACAATGAATATATATACATATTGTGTTTCTTTAGTATATATATATATATATAGTGATTTTTTAATATTTATAAAAATCATTATATATATTGTGATTTTGTAATATTTATATATTTAATTATTAATAATAATTACGTATTAAAAATAATAGTTATGTTTTACATAATGTTCATATAATATCGTATTATGTATTTTCTTCATGGTCTTTAATCAAAATTATACAAATGCGATCACTATATTATGAGAGTTATATTATGAAAATTATATTATGTTATACAGGGTGTTCCCGAATGTTTCAGCTAGACTTTGAAATCTTACAGGAAATTTAATTCTGAACAAAAAATTTCCTATAAACACGGGTCGAAAAATGCTTCCTTAAGAAGTTATCGCTCAAAAACCTCTGATGAAGGAAGAGCAAAAGATAAAAAGAAAATGAAATAAAAAGAAAATAAAACTAAATAAATTTCTCGAGAAAAACGATAAAAATAAAAATCTTTTTCTTTTATAAAAATAAAATAATTTTTTTTAACTAATTTTTATTTTATTTTTATAAAAGAAAAAAATTTTTATTTTTTATTTTTATCATTTTTTTTGAAAAATTATTTAGTTTCATTTTTCTTTTCACCTTTTGCTCTTCCTTCATCAGAGGTTTTTGAGCGATAATGTCTTAAGGAAGCATTTTTCGACCCGTGTTTATAGGAAATTTTTTGTTCAGAATTAAATTTCCTATAAGATCTCAAAGTCTGGCTGGAACGTTCGGGGCCACCCTGTATATTATATTATGTAAAATAACATACAATTAATATTGTATAAATATTATACAATATTAATTGTGTATTATTTTATACAATATTAATAATAAATTTTTATTTATTTGTTTTTACTTGTTTTAATAAAATTTCTTATATAAAAACTTATTAAATTATTTTGTCGGTGTCAATAATAAAATAAATAATTGCGTAACCACATCGTTTATATATGTTAATATAATAATCAAACGCAGTATGTATACAAAAAATAAATTTTATTTATTTTTTCATTTTGTAGCGAGACATTGATGAATTTCTAAAAGGTTTATTCGGCGATATACTAAAAGATTTCGAAAATTTTCTAAAAAATATCTTCTAAAAGATGTTCGAAAAACTGGTTTCATAAGACTGCACAATCCACTTAAGATGAATTATGGCATAAAAAGGTTATGATTATGGCACAATATATTTAACAGAATTTTCAGTTATTACAAGTATTTTATGGCAATTTATCTATTGTAAATGTTGTTCGTGTCAAATAATGTTGTTGATGTCGATTTCTACTATATAAAAAATATATAATATGTAATAATATTATTCCATTATTATATGTATGAAAATGTATTTTGAGTAAATATAAATGTCCGTGCATATAAATATAATTTGTGATTGATATGCTAATTCCTTTTATCATCCAGCAATCGCACAACATTTAGTTTAAAATATTTTTTATCATTTGAATCATCACCTAGATTTTAATATGGTAAATATTACAATTGCAATTCGTAAAAAAATAATAAATTATTAATTTCATATATATTCCTTTGTTTTAATTTATTAATAATGGTGGTTTATATTGAAGCTATATATTGTATATGTATATGTGTGATAATCTATATGAAATTTTTAAAGTTTATCAAGACAGATTGTTGACAGTTAACATGAAGGTCTACGAGTTTCTCGCTTTAACAACAAAATATGATGAGTTATTAAACTATTTGTGCGCGAAAAATGTTACATTTGTAACTTTCTATGCAAAGTCAAGTGTATCCTGCATTACAAACACGGGTTAGGTTATATTTTCTGAAAGTGAAGCTAAGATGAAGCAAAGTTCACTTAATCTTGACCTCCATTAAGAGTAAATTTTGCTTCATCTTAGGAAATACATGCGTAGATACAGTATGTTTCGCCCCCCCCGCAAGGGGCATCACTTTCAGAAGATATAACCTAACCTAACCTGTATTTGTTTGATGCGGGATACACTTCACTTTGCATAGAAAGTTACAAATCTATGTGAAATTATGCAGCAATTTTCTTTCGATAAATGTATTAATAAACTTATGAAACTTCTTTTGTTTATATCTTTTTAATAAACAATGACCGCCAACTAAAATCTTCACAACATTACTCAAAATGATGATCTTGCTAACATATGTGAGAATTATTGAAATCGGGAAGTGATCCGTATAAATAAATAATTACCAAGTTTATGTCTTTAAATAGATCAAGAATTATATACGTATATATGTATCGTATATTGCCAATATTTTGTAAATATTTCACAATATATGTTATATGCATGCTTCTTCATCATTTTATAACAATATTTTAAACTTATTATTATCATAAATAATTATTGATTGTAGACACGATCTTTATAATATGATAAATTATATTTTCCATGATTCATTTATAGCACGATCTTAATAATATTATGTTTATTGTGCGAATATCGATAAATTATGTTTATTATAGATTATTTATAGACTATATATAAAAAATTAATATTATGATACCCGTGTAAAGATGAAATATATGTTTCAAGACTACGTCGTATGATTATGTATAATAAAAAAAGAGGGAAGAGAGAAGAAAAGGAGTCGTCGTTCTAGTATGTGATCAAAAGGAGCCGATGTTGCACGGCGATCAGAAATTTGAAGAAATATCGAGCAAGGAACAATGACGACGAACAATCAGAAGCGGCAAGGATGCTCAAGCATCCGTGAGCATCGTTGTTATTTCATAGCTTAAGCGTGGGAAGCGAATACCTTTACGCTCTAGCGAACACCCAACTTGCGTACAGAACTCTCCCCTTTCACGATACAATTGCTCCCGAGTCTCCCTGGTTCTACCGCATCTCGTAGGAGACACATCGTTCGATGCTTCGGCACAATTATACTGCTAGCTTTTGACACTTTCGAGTCGAAAAACTCGAGATAAAAATATTACATTAGTTTGATACGTTAATAATATTTGTTGCTTTACATCTGAGCATTCTTGCTTTACTCGTCGTTTTTTATCACACTTGAAATTTATGAATGTAAAATTAATACAAAATTATTCATAATTTTTTATAATAATTATTAATAATAATTAATAATAATTAATAATATAATAATTATTAATAATTTTGTAATACATATATTTTTTGCAGGCAAAATTTTATTCTGCGAAAAAGATATTAATATGTCAAAACTTGAAACCGATATTATAAATGTATATGCCAGTTTATATAAATAATTATTTAGATATCCTGATTCTTGTGATATCATTGTCGTCAAGTGACATTTATAAGCCCCTTTCCTCTTAATCCCGTTTCAAATTTGAGACAAATCTTAATTTTATGTGTATCTCTATTTTATTCATTCAATTTACTCTTATCTTATTTGTTCTTTTACTTATCAATCGGATAATTGTGATCAAGATTAATATTTACCATATCCATCTTAATTCCTGAATCCATTATCATATTTTTGGTTAAGGAAAATTGAAAGCACAGATACTGTGGGCTCTGAACAATAGACGTTTAAATGAAATTGAGAAATCTCAAATGGACTTCGATAACGGAACAAAATTGCAAATGACAAAGAAATAAATCCATTTTTTATGAAAAAAATTTATCACAGATGGCGTGTATATAATGATAGCTTATCTCTTAAATAATTCCTCTGTAAGTTTTACATTCGATAAAATCGTATAATATGCATGGAAATTTATTTTTACTGAATATATTGTATCACTTTAGCATAAAAATTTCAAAAATTTGTGGCATACATTAAAAATGTCAAATGAAATGTAAAAATTAATCAAACGAAAGATATAAAAGCAATGTCAATTGCGTGTTTGAATTTTACACATCTTAACCACATCCGATTGTAACATATTTTGTATAATAAAAACAATTGCAATTGTTACTAATTAATTGATTCTGTTTAAAAGTTAAAACACTGTCAATCTTTATTAATACTGAAGCTTGGCTTGAAGAAAACCGAAACATATACAATATTAAATATATAAATATACAATATTAAGTATATATATATAATAAAGTCTCTTCCATATAAATACAATTAAAACAAGTAAATCAAGCAAACAAGAGTTAACATGCAGCGGATACGAATAATATCATTCTAAATAAAGTTGCAACTTATTATATATATATATATATATATATATATATATATATATATAATAAGTTGCAACTTTATTCAGAATGATATTATTCGTATCCGCTGCATGTTAACTCTTGTTTGCTTGATTTACTTGTTTTAATTGTATTTATATGGAAGAGACTTTATTACGTTTATTGCTAAAATACTAATGTACATTTGTAATCCGATATCAAATCTGCTTTACGTTTCTAGCAGATAAAATATAGAGAAAATTGTTTATGAAATATATATGAATTAATAAGTCCCACTAATCTTTTAAAATTTGTAGAATTTATATCTTAAAAATTATTTTTTCAAAATTTTTAATAAAATTTTCTTAATAAAATTTTTAGCATAACAGGAAAGTAATACTTTGAGAAAAAATAAGTGTATTTTCTATTCATAATTTATATTATATTTATTACATCAATGTGTATATTAAAAAGCTAAATGTCCTTTTGCCAATAAAATATTTTGCATTGCCAATGAAATATTCTTCTTCTATATTAAAAGCATAGTTATAACAAAAGTAACTTGAAAACAGTGAATCCCTGATAATTCATTTTTGCGTCTTAATCGCAGTATTGAGATAATAACATTGACGGCCATACTTGCGATAATTTTGCGTTTATCGCGATTAGCTATATGATGAAAATCGATAATAATGTTAGACAGTGCATACAGATTTCTTGATGCAACAGCAGTTGTTAGTTTGACGGAAAATAAGACGCATCAAACATGAAAAAGCAAAATCGTTCTTTAGTGATCATTATTTCTATAATTATATATGCTACTCTTCACTCAGGTAAGCAATTCAAATCTTTAATAATTCAATCACTGCGTTAAAAATTCTACTAAAAATGGATTTTTAAAAAGTGAAATTATACAAAAAATTATGAATGTATATGTGTTTATAGTACTTGTATGTATGTATAGTATATAATTTAATTTTTTTATTTAATATATTTCTGTTATTTATTTTATTCAATATATTTCTAATAAAATTTATTAGTAATTAATAAGCGTCATCCATTATTCAACAAATTATATTTAAAAGAATAAAATAAAATATGCCAAAAATCATATTAAAATAATTAATAAATTCTACATTAATTAATTAAAAAAAAACAATAATATTTAAAAACAATAATATTTATACTTTAATATATAGTTATACATAAAAATACTTTTACTAATATGATATTGTCTCATTTTCAAGGGGAAGCATTGCAATGTTATGTATGTAGCTCGGATAACAACTCCGATTGTAAGGAGGGACCATACTCAAGCATGGCAGAAGAATGTCCTAACCTAGCTACAACAACTTCGACAGAAATAACCTTAACGCAAACATCTTCAACACAGACAATCTCGACGAATACATCTCCGACAGAGACGTCCTCGACGCAGACATCTTCTACGCAAACATCCTCGACGCAGACATCCTCGACGCAGACAACTCCGACGCAGACAACTCCGACGCAAACAACCCCGACGCAAACAACTCCGACGCAAACAACTCCGACGCAAACAACCCCGACGCAAACAACCCCGACGCAAACAACCCCGACGCAGACAATTCCGACGCAGACAACTCCGACGCAAACAACCCCGACGCAGACAACTCCGACGCAAACAACCCCGACGCAGACAACTCCGACGCAGACAACTCCGACGCAAACAACCCCGACGCAGACAACTCCGACGCAAACAACCCCGACGCAGACAACTCCAACGCAAACAACCCCGACGCAGACAACTCCGACGCAAACAACAACCCCGACGCAAACAACCACGACGCAGACATCCCCGACACAGACAACTCCGACAGAGACATCCCCGACAACTTTAATACAAACAACTCTGACAGAAATTGCGGAACCTACGCCGAAAAATAATGCGAGAGGTATCCAGAAAATAAATATCTTATGCTTATTAAAACAAAATTAAATTCAATATAGTTAATTATGCAATTTAATAAATTCTTAACTGAAAACTATATTAACTGAAAACTATATTAAGATATAATATAATTTGTACAATAAAAGAGTATAAACTTGATTTATTGCAGATTTAAAAAACAAAAGAATTTTTAAAGTTTTTGAAATAAATTTAAATTTTAAAATAAATCAAAATATTGTTAGATTACATTAATGTTTAGATTTTTTTATATATTTTTTTGAATTGTTATTAAATTGCATTGTATGATAAGACATTATTTTTATAGAAAAAATTTTAGAAAGATTTTTTGTATTAATGCAAAAATGATAATTGCGATGATTTTCAATACAATTAAATGTAACTCTAAACTAATAGTAACTATAAAATAAATAACTGAAATTATTTGATATTTTAATAATGTTTTAAAAATTGATTTCCGTTTTTTCTATCTTTTTTTTATATTTGAGTTATTAATCTTTCTCCCTTTTTGTTAATTTAGAACAATATTTGAACTATATAATATTTATTAATATTTTTCTTTTCTTTAATTAGACTACAGGTTACGCAGAAGCATTTTTCCAAATGCATATGATACATATGATAGGGAAGAATACTGGTGTGCCGTAATTAAACGTCGTAAGTATACAAATAAATAAATATCCTATGGCTTTAAATTAGATTCTTTTTCAAGATTTATCTTTCACAAAAATGCTTTTGGTAATTCTATGTTCTCTTTCAATTATTTGTCATTATAGTTAGGAAAATATTTAAGTCAATTTTTTCTCTACTTAAGTCAAATTTTTTTCAAATTTTTAATATTTTAATTCACAAAAATTTACAATAACGATACAATATTGAAATATTTCAAGAAATATATAAATTTTGAAGTTCTCTTATATATCAATCAACAGAACTTTTTTAATAATATAATATTTCCTTATTTTATATATTGTACTTATTTTTTTCTTTTGTAACAATCAGAAGAAATGAGTTTGTTAGAGAAATAAATATTTCTTTTTGTAGAATCTAACGATTCTGAGGTCATCGTGGAACGTGGATGTGTACCTTTCTCCTTTAAATGTGATAATACTAAAGGAGAGATTTGTATGATGTGCAATTCAGATTTATGTAATAATGCTAACTCTGTATCAATTAATATGATAACCTTGTCATGGGTGGTATTTTCATGGGCAATTATGTTTATTCTTATAGATTCTTAATTTTTAAGCTTTACCATTATAACACATTATTTATAAAATATACATATATAATGTGTATTTTTGTTTTTATAATCTTTTATAATCAATAATTTTATAATAAATAATTTTCTGGCTAAAATTTTAGAATATGTCACGTTAAATAAACTGTTAAATAAATTGTTGTAAATAAAAAAGCAATTTTTATAAAATTATTAACCAAAATTTATAATAACAATATATGACTCTCTTGATTTGTAATATTGAAGACAATTAAATATTATTCACATAAAATTGAAGAAAATATATTAATATAATACGCGTTAATGATTATTTCTCATTACTCACATAATCTAATAAACTTTTATTAGCAACTTTTATTTGAAAATTATATATATCTATTATGTATCATTTAAAAATGATTATCTGTTGTCTGTTTTTCACATGTTTAAGAAACAGATTAGGAACTACTGCAGGAATATTATATACTCTTCATAGTAGAATAATCACAGAACTTTATAGTTTCGAAAGAACAGTCATATCTAAATATATATGAATACATTTCACAGCTTTATGAATTTCACACTTATAGTTTTCACATGCAGCTTTAACTAATTTATCGATAATTTTAAGCGTTATTCGATAAGCAAAATCATATTAGAGCATAACATTAATATCTATGATTTTATATTGTATAATTAAATTAAAATAAACAATGTTAAAGGCTCCTCTAAATTAACAAATCAAAATGAGTAGTGAAAGGCAATAAAGAGTATGATTAAACGTTCAAAATTTTGTAAAATTGTACATTATCTTTACATTATTGTAAAAAATTATTCTGCTTAATATTTTTAATATTGAATACCTGTATATATCTCTCTAGAGAATAAATCTATTTATTATATTATATTATCTGTTATTCATGTAAGTAATTTTAATAAATTTTAGAATTGAATATAAAATATTATAGATATACTAATATATCACATTATAAACTATAAAATATTATAAATCCATGGGGACAATTATAACGCTGGGAAAAATATTGTTTTGTAATATTTTACAATAAAATTATTATATAGATATAATTTTATATAAAAGAATTTTTTACATTAAGCTTATCACAAAAAAATATTTAAATATCAAATTTATTCTGTATCACAATTATCCTGATTGACGTTAATTAAAGCGTTAATTAAATTGTCTTTACAATACCGCTCTCATTTCCTTAAATTTCACATCGCAAATATGCATTTTTTTCTTCTCAGAAGATTGGAAACTTGTTAGTTTTGCTCTCGCATTTCATTCAGTCGCATCACTTTTACAAATCATTGTCGTCGGCATCCTTATTTCGTATTCGTGTGCCAAAAGAACCTGAGTGTGCATTCAATCAACAGTAAACATTTTAGTGATTGCGTCTTTAGTATTAAGTCTTTCCGCGCGTTTCAGCTCTCTCTATTTACGCTTTAAGAGTACTCGCCCGTTGAAATTACCGGATGCAGTAAATGGAATTGCGTTACGTAGATAATGCTGTCTGTAAATTAACAAAACCGAATTTCATAGTCATATCATATTTTACGTTTTTTAATGAACTTTATATCTGTAGCTTAAGAAATATTCGGAAAACAGAATAGCTTCGCCAAAGGTATATATTGATATTATAAAGCGAAATTTGTTAAAGGTAGTAATAAAAGAAGTTAATTATCAGAAGTTGTAGAATTATTATAACAATTTTGTGTTTAAAATCTTCTTAAATAAAGATATTCTTTAACAGCAAACTCGCGATAAGCGATGAATAGTTAGTAAAATTTTATTCTACATTAAGAGTTATTATTTTAGATACTCCTAATATGTAATAATACTGCTAATAAAATAAATACACATATGTATACACGCAAATTGTGTATCTCAATCTTTTATTTCAAATTTTTATTTTAATATGATATAAATGATTTAATATCAGATTTTTTTTGTATAGATTTGGTTTAAATTATAATATTTATAAAATGATTTATAATAACAAGAAGCTACATCTAAATATATAATAAAACTTTTTTTTTTAATTTAAGGAAAGAATTCGAGTTATAAGTGTAAAATAGTTTCCGTTACAAATGATATTTTCTTTAATTCTAAATTTTATATATATAAAGTTATTAAATAGTGTAAATATATGTACATGTATATATATATATATATATATATATATATATATAATTAATAAATTAGTTTCAATAGCAATATGAGTCGAGCATCGATTATGACACATTTATTTACTTATTATACAATAAGAGGCATGAAACAAATAAAAAAATATAAAAATAAAAGAAGGAATAGCGAACGTTTCGACCCTATTTTAAGTCATCTTCAGCACAAATGTAATGTGGTAAAAATATAACAAAGGTGTTACATATCTGAATCGATGAGATAGAATGCCGTTCAAAGTAATACTAAATGTCTCGGTATCTCATTATCTTGACGATGCTTATGTAAAATAAAGGTGAAACAAAATAAATGCATAATGTAAACTAATGTATAATGGATAATGTAAACTAATATATAATATATAACATAATATACATAACTAATATATAACATTAACATATATATATATATATATATATGTGTGTGTGTGTGTATGTTTTATATGTGTATGTGTGTGTGTATAATTATATCATTACAAAATATTGCTGTGTTAGAAAGATAATTAAAATATTTCATTATTTATATTGCGCAAAATTAATATCATATCTCTCTACAGGAAATATTGTATCTCAAAAAAATTCTTAATAAAATCTTTTTATATATAAAAAAAATGTAACAAATGTGGAATAGCTCATTTTTCACCTAAAGATTATGTTAATTGTAATGTCATATTATTTTATATATAATATAAAAATTTATTTGCTACCAAAATAATTTTAAACAATATGTTTTTATATAATGGAAAGTATATCGTTCCCCTAAGTATCACTAATTATAAGTGAATTCTTGAAAATTTAATTTTCTATATTTTAATCGCATAAGATTGTGGTATCACATGAAGATCAAATAATCCCAATAATCTATGATTTATAGCAATCAGATACAGTGAAGAAATAATGATAACGCAGATAACTATATTCTATATTTTTCAACATATTACGACAGTCATTGGTTGGACATAAATTAAAGCACATTAAAAATGGAAATTCGCTCTCTTTTTATCACGATTTTGGTAGTCGCATTTGCTTTTCTTCATTATGGTACGTTTTACATAAATTTTTGATGATTTATTCGATAACATTAATTTTATAGAAATGACAAATTTTCAAATCAAGTTACAAGGATTACACGCTATATACATCTATTATAAAATCTAATTTTAAGAATCATCATAAATTTGTTACAGAATTAATATCAAAATTAATAAAATAGGAGATATTATTTTTAACATTCGTATAGTCAAAAAATTTAATTTTTAAATCTAATTAATTATTGTAATCTGTGAACATTTTTCTTGTTCTTGACTCCATTAATTCAATATATAATTGTATGCAAAAATATTTTTATTAAAATCTATTATTTTGTTTATTCTAAGGAGAGGCAAAGAGATGTTATAAGTGCGATTCGAGAACTAGTAAAACTTGTGTAAGCGAACCATCATGGAAAAAAGAGGTAGAATCATGTCCAATTAGAAGTAATTGTGCTACTTGTCATTATAGTAAGTACTAAGCGAATAAACATATATTATATGCAATGGTTTTTAATGCGTCAAGTATTTTAATCTTTCTAAAAGTGAGAAAAAAAAAAGAAATTTACTTGAGATAAATTTCTTAAAAATATAAGATAAATAATCCTATATTTAATATATTATATACAGAATATTATTTTTATAAAGTTATAAAAGTTGTATGCTTCTTGTATATTAATTAGGAATACATATATTGTTTTTGTCATTAATAACATAATTGATGCTTATGTGTATATTATAGATGTAACTTATATATATTTTTTATAACACATTTCCTTTATTTTATTTTATAACACATAACAATCTCAGAATTGTTAATAATAAATACAATTTTTTTCCAGAATTCTACAACGGTACTAAGGTTCTTATTCGCTCCTGTGGCACGAATAACTCTAGCTCTGTCCATTACCTCGATTTGGAATATTGTATTCTATGTAATAAAGATCTCTGTAATAATGCTAATATAATAACAGTTAGCATGACATTAGGATGCCTCGTATCGTTTTGGGCGATTCGGTTTGTCCTTACAAATTCGTATTAAGTATTTAACTCACATCATAAAAAACACATCTTTATAATAATATATTAACATATATTAAAAAACGATATGTGATATGATATGTTATATGATATTAATAAATATATATTAAATATTAACATATATTAAAAAATAAAGCTATTTAATGTAATATTTTTTAATATATTAACATATATTTAAAAAATATTACATTCAATAGCTTTATTTTTCTTTTATTTTACCTATATTAATTATTATATTATATCAAGAGACACGACAGGTTAGGCTTCGCGCCAAGTTCACGCGAAGCAACAGCCAGGCACTCCGTGTATCTATACGCGAATTGGATAGTTGAGAGTGCCTTAGATTATCATTTCTCATATAACAGCTAAACGGATCGAATTCTTACTAGGCTTAATCGATAGTTTGAGTTTTGAATTGTATAATAAAAATATCTTTAATTTTTTCCTATATGTATTGTAAAGGAAGGAAATATAATGCAAAATCTAAATGTGAAAATTGTCTTTTATATAATTAAAATTGGCAATATTAAACTGAATAACATGCTAATAAAATTAGCAACGTCTAGTTTTTTTAATTAAAATATTTTTTTATTTTATATTAATTTTTAATTTTTAAATAAATTTTTAATTTTTTAATTTAATAGTATTTTTATAATTTAATATTATTATTTACAAAAATTAAAATAACTATTTTGTACATGGCAACAGCGTTTTAAATTAAAATATTTTTATTTAAACTTGCACAAGTTTTTATTCTTAGCGCACTACAATTGTTATATAACCTTTTTTGTAAGAAATCAAAACTATTTTGCACATATACTAATTTTTTACAGTAATTTATATATTTTTAATTTAAAAATAATACTATTTTGTACATGGCGCGTGTACTTGGTGTGTTTTTCACCTATTTTAAAAAAGATTTTAGAGATTATATCATTTCTTTTTGTAAAAATGTAACACATGGCGCACGTAACGCTTTTCTTTTACGTTTTTTTTAAATAGTAAGTGCATTATACATATTTAGGGAATACATCAATGCATAATTATTGTTATTTTTCAACGAATAAATTCATGAAAGTATTGTACAAGTTATCTTACATTAATGATTTAAGAGCATATACACTAATGTATATATATATATATATATATATATATATATATATATAGAGAGAGAGAGAGAGAGAGAGAGAGAGAGAGAGTGGGGAGGGGGGGGAGAAATTCAATATATATATACATATATATATATATATATATACATGACGTGCGCGTAGACACACACACACTTACATTATTATATATATAATAATGTATATAATAATATATGTGTGTGTATGTGTGCAATTATTACGATAATTTAACCATCAGAAAGCTGCTGGTGCCATTTCGTGTTAAAAGGAACCATATATTTTTCCGACGACGGAGAGAACGATCGAGACGTTTCTTAAGAGAAAATTTTTACATTTAAACTTTACATTATATTTCCTCCGTTTACAATACTTGTAGGAAAAAAACTAAAGATATTTTTATTATATAATTCAATTCAAACTATCGATTAAGTAAAAATTCGATCCGTTTAGTTGTTACATGAGAAATGATAATCTAAAGCATCCTCGACTATCCGATTCGTGTATAGATACACGGGATGCCTCGTTGTTGCTTCGCGTGAATTTGGCGCGAGATACTACCCTATTTCTTGATATGTTATATGATATTTTATAATATATAAGATATGATTATTATATGATATATAATATAATAAATTAGCATAGATAAAATAAAAGAAAAATAAAGCTATTTAATGTAATATTTTTTAAATATAAGGACGTATTTTTTATGTGAGTTAAACAATTAATAAGAATTTGTAAGAACAAACCGAATCGCCCAAAACAATATGAGGTATCTTAATGTCATGCTAACTGTTGCCATATTAGCATTATTATTAAACTTATTACAGAGATCTTTATAACATATTGAACAATACTGAAAATCGATTAATAACGGTTCACAAAGTCATAATTTACTATGCCACAGGAGCGTTCTCTGAGAAGAATCTCAGTACCGTTGGACCAGTCTGGAAAAAAATTGTATTTATTATTAATAATTCTGATTGTTATGTATTATAAAATAGAATAAAGGAAATGTATTATAAAAAAATATATAAATTACATTCATATAATATACACATAAGCATCAAAATATTATGCTATTAATGATGAAAACAATATATTCCTAATTAATGTGTAAGAAACATACAACTTCTAAAACTTTATAAAAATAATGTTCTATAACATATTAAATGTAAGATTATTACAGAGCTTTTTATGCATAATTATATTCGAAATTTATCTGAAGTAAATTTCTTTCTTTCTCTCACTTTTAGAAAGATTAAAATACTTGATGTATTAAAAACCATTGTATATAATATATAATATATGTTCATTCGCTTAGTACTTACCAATATAACAAGTAGCACAATTAGTAGTTGCACACTCTGTTATCTCTTTCGACGTTCGAATGCACAAGTTTCACTAATTCGCGAATCGCACTTATAACATCTCATTGCCTCTCCTTAGAATGAATAAAATATTAGATTTTAATAAAAATATTTTTGCAATTACTTTTACAATTACATGTTAAATTAAGTTATAATGGAGTCAAGAACAAGAAAAATTTTCAAATTATAGTAATTAATTAGATTTAAAAATGAGATTTTTTGATTATACAAATCATAAAAATAATATCTCCTATTCTATAATTTTTATATTAATTCTGCAACAAATTTATGATGATTCTTAAAATCAGATTTTATAATACACTTAGATGTATATGGTGTGCAGTCCCCTTGTAATTCGATTTGAAAAGTTTGTCATTTCTACACAAAATTAATGTTATCGAATAAATCATCAAAAATTTTTGTAAAACGTACCATAATGAAGTAGAGCGAATGCGATTACAAAAATAATGGTCAAAAAAGAGCGAATTTCCATTTTTAATGTGCTTTGATTTATGTCCAATCAATGACTGTCGCGATACATTGTAAAATCTAGAATATACTTGCCTGTGTTATCATTTCTTCACTGTGACTGATTGCGATAAACGATCGATTATCGCGAACTTGGTCTTTATGATATAGTGATACCACGATACCATCATTTAAAATTATTTTGTTAGCAAATAAATTTTTATGTATAAAATAATATAATATATTATATTATTATTATATATTATTTTATATTATTTTATAATATATTATTTTTATATATAATATAATATAATATATTATTATTATATATTATTTTATATTATTTTATAATATATTATTTTATAATATATTATTTTATTATTATATTATTATTATAATATAATATATTATATTATAATAATAATATAATAATAAAATAATAAAATAATATATTATATTATTATTACAATATAATATATTATTTTATATATAAAAATTTATTTGTTAAAAAAGTAATTTTAAACAATGTGTGTTTATATAATGGAAAGTATATATAATTTCCTTAAGTATCACTAATAATAAGTGAATTCTTGAAAATTTATATTTCCATGTTTTAATCGCATAAGGGCGTGGTATCACATGGAGACCAAGTTCGCGATAATCTATTGTTTATCGCAATCAGTTACAGTGAAAAATTGGTGATAACACAGGCACTTACCAGTGTATATTATAGATATTTCAACGTATTGCGACAGTCATTGGTTGGACATAAATTAACGCACATTAAAAATGGAAATTCGCTCTTTTTTGATCACTATTTTAGTAGTCGCATTTGCTCTTCTTCATTATGGTACGTTATTTTAAATTTTTAATGATTTATTCGATAACAAACTTTTCAAATCAAGTTACAAGGGCTGTACACCATATACATTTATTATAAAATCTGATTTTAAATCATTATAAATTTGTTGCGGTATTAATATCAAAATTAAAATAGGAGATATTATGTATTTTTAACATTCGTATAGCCAAAAAATTTCATTTTTAAATCTAATTAATTATCATAATCTGTGAAAATTTGTATCTTGTTCTTGACTCCAATATAACTTAATTCAGCATATAATTGTATGCAAAAATATTTTTACTAAACTCCATTATTTTGTTTATTCTAAGGAGAGGCAAAGAGATGTTATCAGTGCGATTCGAATATTAGTAAAACTTGTGCAAGCGAACCATCGTCGAGAGAAGAAGTAGAATGTCCAACTAACGCTTGTGGTGTTTGTACTTACAGTAAGTATTAAGTGAATGAATATATATTATATACAATAGTTTTTACATGAAGTATTTTAATCTTTCTGAAAGTGAGAGAAAGAAATTTACTTGAGACAAATTTCGAATATAACTAAGTATAAAAGGCTCTGTAATAGTCTTATATTTAATATATAATATTATATGTAGAACATTATTTTTATAAAGTTTTAAAAGTTGTATGGTTCTTGTACATTTAGGAATGTTTTCATCATTAATAGCATAATAAGTTAATGCTTATATGTATATTATGGATGTAATTTATATGTTTTTATAACACATTTCCTTTATTTTATTTTATAACACATAACACATTCTCAGAATTGTTAATAATAAATATAATTTTTTTCAGAATTGAACGGTGATAAAGGTGTTGTTCGCGGTTGTGGCCGCTTAGAGTTGAGTCAATCTATATCCGTAGATAATTGTTTTATATGTTCTGAAGATCTCTGTAATAATGCTAATATGGTAACAATTAGCATGACAGCATTAGGGTGCCTCGTATCGTTTTGGGTGATTCAGTTTGTCCTTACAAATTCTTATTAATTGTTTAACTCACATCATAAAAAGTACGCCCTTATATTAAAAAAAATATTACATTAAATAGTTCTATTTTTTTCATTTTATCTATGCTAATTATTATATTATATATGAATGTATCGAATATATATAGCTGAAAATAAAATGTACACTCATATACATTAACTTATGTATGTCAATTATTTCTTTTATTATATAAACATATATTTACTTATATTATATACATACATATAATTGTTACCTAAAATACAATTTTATTGATTATATCTCATTTATGTTTGTGTTATTAAAATAATATTTTATATTTATAATAATAAAGAAATAATTTTTAAGAGGATTCTTTCAAGATTGGACTCAAATTTTTGCAATATATTTACATCATATAAGAAAAAATATAGCTGTTTTTAATTTTTTTAAATCTTTTCTTCTGTCTACGTTATAATCGTATTATATATAATTATATAACATATTGTATATAAGTATAATATATCGTATATTATTATATAAGTAAATTTTATATTACAAATTCTTTTATACCATAAATTTTCTTATACTATAAATTTTTTAATAGATATTTGTGATATTTTGAGTTAAATCTACTTCAAATTCCTTTTTAACAATCGTAATAAGCATGTAAACAATTGACATTTTCTTAATTTTTTTTTATTTCTGTTTTATTTACGAAATTAATATCATATCCACAAGAAAATATTTTTTTTAAATTCTTAATAAAGTTTTTTTTGAGAATGTCGAAAAAGTAGCAATTAAACTGCGACATTTGCGTTATATTCGTTATATTGAGCCTATATAATCGCTGAATATTAATTTTTATTAAACTTTTTATAAAATACGATATATTTTAAAATTATTAATATATAAAAAAATAATATATATCGTTACCAAGCAAAAACGTTATCTTGAAAATGATAACGTTTTTGCTTGATAATGAAATGATAACGTTGATAACAGTTAATGAGGTTGAATTTAGCGAAATAATTTTAGATAATTTATCATAATCAGCGATATATATACATATATAGAGTTGTATGTATCTGTACAAAAATCGTTAATAAATTAATAATCATTAATAATCATTGATAATCTTATTGATTTTTATTGATCATTATTGATAATCTTAGAAAGTATAGGTTGATTTCTTGGGATAATCAAATTAGTGATTTGATGACATCAAAACATAAAGAAATGGAAAGACGAGATTTTATTGCGATTATCATACTGATAATCATATTCACTATTGTTTATTCAAGTACATTATACAAATTTTTAAATAATAAACTTTAATAAAAGTTTGATACAAATTTTAAGCTTAACAATTTAGCTTAAAGATTTCGAAATTAAATAAATTTCTGACAAATGTTATATAAATAACAATTGCTAAAGTGTAAAAATAACCAACTTGTAACTTTTGAATTTTAATACATACATACAGTAGGTAATTCCTAGATTGATTATTATTTATAATTTTTCTGCAATTGATATTAAATAATATGCATAGCAATTAACATTATAAATTATTGTATAATTAGTAAATAAATAAAAAATTTTAGACATATGTTATAGATTAATAAAATTGTTAAATTTGTGACATTCACATAAGCGAAAATAATTTACGTTATTCAATTTGATGATATACTGTATGTTTATCTTTCTTAATTAACTCTTAATTTCGTTTCAATATGTAGATATGTTTACCGTTATTTTATCTGTTTTCCTACTTTTCAAATAGGAAAGCAAAAGAAATGTTATAATTGCAATTTGCGTGAAAGCAATACTTGTGCAAGTAAACCGTTGGAATCCGAAACGATAGATTGTATAGGTATATATTGTGTCAAATGTGATTATGATAAGTAACACGCAACTGAATAAATGTATTGCTTTTAATAGAATATTTTATCCAGGATTACTTGTATTCTTATTTCAACTGTTGTATCAGAGTTCTCTCTAGGTTCTCTTTTTCTTCTCTCTTATCTGCCTTTGTAGAGATAAGAAAACATGGTTGAGACAAATTTCCATTGTAACTTAAAAAATTGCAATAAAAGAATATAATAAAAGTTTCACAAAATATTAAAATTTGTATTTAATGCATATTAATGTGCATCTCGTAGATTAATCGAGAATATTTTATAGTCGAGAATATATATAGTGTTTTAATTACATATGATTAATAGTATGTATAATATTTTGGATGCTTCGTATAGATATATGTCATATAATAAACTAAATCATTTTTGATAAATATAATTATTTTTTTAGAAATGTACAATGGCACAGTAGAAGTCGAACACTTCTGTGACATACTTTATACAGGGTGTTCCAGATCAACCGCAGGTCCTTGAAGGAGTGGATAGATCTCGATAATGTGAGTAAAAAATGTCCTTACAAGAAAGTTGTGAGATCAATAGTTTTTGAATAAAACGCATTAGAAGTTAAGCAACCACGGGGCCCGCATTTCGCGCCGTCAGGAGCGGCGCGGCATGAACCATTCTTGTTCGCAATACATTCTGCCACATCAATTACTCGTAATTGTTTTCATTTGTTTTCCATCGTTTTTGCTACTGATGTTGCTACTGATTTTTGGAAATATCCGAAGCGGCATCAACGAAGAATCTTAACTCGAAGAGTTTTAAATTGTCAAAGTATGTATGCATTGATCCCCAATTTTAAAGAATCTTCTATGGAAATATTTCTGTTAAAGTCATAAAAGTATAATTGAGTCATACAACTTACACTCGCGGCGGAAATAAAATTTTTTTTAAGTTTTCAAAGTTTTTTCATTACATAGTATTTTCTTTTCAACTATTTAATTACTGGTATAAAGAGAAACTAAGCTGTAATTGAAAATTGTACATTATTTTCAATCTGTCATTGTAAATGTAAGTTTTTTCGTTCCGCTTACTTTTCCGTTATAACATAAAATAAATAATTATAATGAAATGTTTCATCAAGAAATAATTCTTTATTCGATAATTATCTTATAATAACTTCAGACTTATTTATTACAAGAATTTAAACTTAACCCAAATTTTGTATTATCGTCGTATAACGTTGAATGCCATTAAAATAATTTTTAAACAATTGCATTGCACAACTTTTTACAGCAAGTGTTCGAATTGACCTCCACCCACTTCGATACAAAGTTGCGCGCGTTGTATTAAACTTTGTCTTGACCGTTGAATCATTTCTGGGGTAATGGTTGCCACCGCTTCTGTAATGCGATCATTTAATTCTTGTAATTGATGTGGCAGAATGTATTGCGAACAAGAATGGTTCATGCCGCGCCGCTCCTGACGGCGCGAAATGCGGGCCCCGTGGTTGCTTAACTTCTAATGCGTTTTATTCAAAAACTATTGATCTCACAACTTTCTTGTAAGGACATTTTTTACTCACATTATCGAGATCTATCCACTCCTTCAAGGACCTGCGGTTGATCTGGAACACCCTGTATACCCTTCGAATTGACAACTAGAACTGAATGTAATACCTGAGATACGGATCTCTGTAATAATGCTAACGTGATGTCAATTAACATCATAGCAATAGAATGTCTAGTACTATTTTGGGCGATTCGGTTTGTTCTTACAGAGTCTTATTAATTCTTCAGCTTGTAACATTATGTGCGATAAAGACAGAGATAAAATAAAAAAATAACATAAAAATATATATATATATATATTTCTTTTTATATAACAAAAATCTATTGGTTTATTTTATTTTATTTAAAAATCTCCTTTAATTGATATATTAAAATATTACGAATAATATCTAGTGAAAATATCATTTATATATCAAAATATAGTTTATAAATGATCTATAATAAATTGAATTTATCCATATTCGTACAATAAACATACAAAATGAAATTATGCTCCTTACTTATTTAATCGGCAAGAGAAAACATCTGCGATTGCTCTCGCAAATTTTAATGTTTGATGATAGAAGGCGAGTCCTAATAATTATCCTGTTCTATCTTTGATGTAAAATTTTGTTGATAAACTTTAAAAATTTTGATAATCACATATGTACATACACAATATACAGTTTCAATATAAAGCATTAATGCTATTAAATTAAAATAATAAATGAAGGAATATAAATGAGACTAATAATTTGTTATTTCTCTATAAATTACAATTGTGATATTCATCATATTGATATCTATGATGATTCAAATAAAAAAAAATATTTTAACTAAATTTTATACGATTGCTGGACGACAGGGATTATTAGCATATCAATCATAAATTATATTTGGATATTGCACAGATATTTATAATTGATACAAAATACGTTTTCATATAATAATAAAATAATATAATTACATATTATATATCTTTTACATCAAAATCGACATCAAAGACATTATTTCGAGCAACTTTTCACAACATCATAGATAAATCGCCATAGAATACTTGCAATAATTGAAAATTCTATATAATATATTGTTGTACATAATGACTTAATCATAATCTTTTCATGTCATAATTCATCTTAAGTGCGTTGTATAGTCTTATAAGCCGAGAAGCCTAAAATAACCCTAAAGTACTTGATATGAGGCTTGATATGAGCTTTGATATGAGGCTTGATATGAGTCTTGATATGAAGCTTGATATGAAGCCAAAAATAGTGCTAATTATAGCGCTAATTATATCTCGCTGCAATGAAAAAAAAAAATAAAATTTATTTTTTACATACACCAAGTATAATTTATGATTATTATACCAACATATAGATATTAAGCTTACGCAATATATATCTTATTATTGACAAAAAAAGTTTTTACATAAGAATTTTTATGTACAAACAAATAACTATATTGTTAACATTATACAGGGTGTATCTGAAATGATGCACTAAACTTCAGAAGCGTATTTTAGAGGTCAAAATAAGACTTTTTTGTCCTATGAACATGGATCCACAAGTGAACCGCCCTCCGAGCTAGAGGCCCCAAAAGTTTGGGGAAAAAATTGGAAATTGGCTGTATATCAGAAAAAAATGACAGAAGGTTGAAATTTTATAGCCCAGTAAATTATGAAGTAAAGTAAACCACTAAAATGAAAAAATAAAAACGTATCATGAAAACATTAATTTGCCAAGCTGGAAGTTTCGAAGACTTTTTTAGTTTTTAAATGATTTTACTGTTATCTACAAAAAATGCTCGAAATGGGCGCCGTTGGCTTCAATTTTTTCCCCAAACTTTAGGAGTCTCTAGCTCAGAGGGGAGTTTATTTGCGGACCCATGTGCATAAAAAAAGTCTTATTTTGACCTCTAGAATACGCTCCTAAAGTTTAGTGCATCATTTCAGATACACCCTATAATATTCATATTATTTCGCGTATGTACTCATAATATAATTATCGCATTTATATAATTTTGATGAAATATAAAAGAAAAAATACATAATACTGTATGATATTATATAAATAAGTTTAACTATTATTTATAATACAAAATTACAATTTATTAAAATAATTAAATAAATAAACATTAAAATGTCTAAAATAAATACATCATGTGTGTATATAATCATTGTGCTTTTTTATATCTTTAAATATAAAACATATATATTGTTGCGCCCTCGCGTCCCATTCTTGCGGATGTATTCACAATCCGTTATTCTGCCGGTCGGAAGTTCGTCGACGGAAGAAGATGCGCGTGTGTTGTCAAGACGTTTGTTTTTAACAACGACTGTCATTGAATTAGAAACCAGCTATCAAGCTACGCGGACTTGTGTTCGATTTATTCTAAGTTATTCCGAGTTATTGTATGTTTCTCGTGTTTTGCATTAAAGCTCTTGTGTTCTAAAGAACCGTGTTTTTATTCCCGAGTGCGCGAGTGCGCGAGTGGAAGTGTGCCGAGAGTTGTGTCGCTCACGCGTTCAATAAATCGATGTCCTCGTCGCAGACGCAACAATATATACATATATGTATATATATTTTTTTCATTAAATGAAAGTTATACCTTAGATCGCATTAATGGAGCAGGATCCGCTGTAGCTGATTCAGCTATAACATCAAAGATCGAGACAGTCGCAAAAACGGCAGCTAATAAAAATAGATATGTTACGGTATTCATCGTTGCAGACTTAAGAAGGACTGTGTGTGTGTGATTGAACAATTTTGAATTTTAACACCTTTAGTGCCTCAATTTATACAATAAAAAATCGTGATCTGAACATCATAAACATTTTCTAATCTAAAAAATTCTAACGTTTATTAAGACTTTAAAATTTTATTTAAATATTATTTTTTAAAACTCTAGATAAAGTGTTTATTGTTATATATAAAATTGTTCAATAAAAAAATAAGGTGATTTTAATGTTATTTCTCTCCGTTATGTTGAGTCAGGTTTCTTTTGATCACGCACTAAAATGACAACTTCTCTTCCTCTCCTTTTCCTCTTTTCTTTTACTATACTTAATCGTGTGACGTAATCTTGAAACATATATTTCATCTTTGCTCGCATATCATGATATTAACTTTCTATATATAGTCTATAAACAATCTATAATAAAATAATTTATCGATATTCGCACAATAAACATAATATTATTACGGATCGTGCTATAAATGAATCATGGAAAATATAATTTATCATATTATAAAGATCGTGTCTACAATTAACAATTATTTATCATAAGTTTAAAATACTGTTATAAAATAATAAGAAATATGCATAACATATATTGTGAAATATTTACAAAATATTGGCAATATAAATATATACGTATATAATCTCGTATATAATCTCGATTTATTTAAAGACATAAATTTATTTTAATAAGTTTTTTTAATAAATTTAATATTTTAGAACAAAATTTTATCATCAAAAATATGGAAATTATTTATGCGGAATATGTAATCGGGTTACAGTATCTTTAACTTACATTCTTAAAGATTGATTCTTTTTTTTTCTGAGATAGAAACGTATATCATATCGAAGTAATATTTTCATTAATATTTTGTGGAAGAAATGAAAATTTGTTGCATTCACATGGTATCATGCATATAATAATGGAATAATATTATTACATGTTATATATTTTTTATATAATAGAAATCGACATCAACAACATTATTTGACACGAACAATTTTTTACAATATCATAGATAAATTGCCATAAAATACTTGTAATAACTGAAAATTCTGTTAAATATATTGTGCCATAATCATATAACCTTTTCATGCCATAATTCATCTTAAGTGGATTGTGTAGTCTTATATACTCACACTTTCTTGTAGCTTTAAGAATTCTTTAATAAATCCTGTAATGTTAAACCCTATCTTAACAGTTACATCTACAGTTAAACATTTTATTATTCTTTGGTTGTTTTGTAGATTTGGTGGGACGTAATCTTCTGGTTATTACATTTCGCTGCAATGTAAAAAATAAATAAAATTTATTTTTTTATACACATAACTGTGTTTGATTATTATACCAATATATATAAAAGATATTGTGGATATGCGATTATATATTTCATTATTGACACACCGACAAAATAAGTTTTTTATATAAGAATTTTTATTAAAACAGTTATACAAATAAATACAAATTTATTATTAATATTGTATAATATTTGTATATATTATTTCACATCTTCATAATATAACACTCATAATACAATATAATGATCGCATTTGTATAATTTTGATAAAAAAATATAAAGAAAATAATATATAATATTTTATAATATTATATATACATTATGTAAAAATATATATACTATTATTTTTAATACAAAATTATTATTTATTAATAATTCAATATATAAATTTAATATATAAATATTTAAAAAAATCTAAAAAAACAATCATATGTATATATATTCATTGTGTTTTTTTAAATATTTATTAACATTTTTAAATATTTATATTTATATATATTTAATATATTTTTTCATTAAATAAAAAAATTATACCTGAGATTGCGAAGTAGAATCCGCTGTAACTGATGACTCAGCCATAACATCAAAGATCGAGACAGTCGCAAAAATGGCAACCAACAAAAATAGATACATTACTGTATTCATCGTTGCAGATTTATGAAGGACTGATTGAAAAATTTTGAATTTTAACACTTTTAGTATCTCAATTAATACAGTAAAAAATCGTGATCTGCACACACATATTGATAAAAAATAGTCGTAATTACTATAAATATAGTTATTTTAAGCGCCAACAATAAAATGAAAATTATTATTACTATACACAAAGTTATTATTATCAACATTATAATAGTAATAACTACAAAAATAGAAATCTCAATTATAATTTTTTTACTGAGCAACTGTTGGCCCCTTTTTTCAATGCATAAACATGATCTAATCTGAAAAATTCTAATATTTATTAAGACTATTGAATTTTATGTAAGCGTTATTTTTTTAAAACTTTAGATAAAATAGTACTTATTATTGCATATAAAATTGCTCAATAAAAAAATGTTAATTCGTCCATAAAATTATCTGAATTTTCCATATTTTCTATTTCATACACTGCAGATGTGATATGCAATACCGTTTTTGTATATTTTGGAAGATTTGGTACTAATCTATGTTTTAATATTTTTAATATTTAATATTTAATATTTTTAACAGAGTGGTTTTTAGAGTTATTTCTCTCCGGTAAGCTAAATTTTCTTTTAATCAGACATTATAAGATGGAACACGTTTCCTTTTTGTATCTCTTTTTTCCATTGTACGTAATCGATATATTCTCGAAAAAAAAACATGAATAACTTGTACGAAATCTAATGTAAATATCAGATTCCAAATAATCTTTACATAAAATTGACTACAGAGTTTTATTACTACTCTTGTATGGTTTTATATCGTCTATATTGAATAGAAATTCTACTTAATGTAAAATCACATTTACACAATCTTATCTCTTAATCCTTGCTCAACACCTAAATATGTAAATTCGGCCATAAAATTATCTGAATGAACCTTCCATGTTTTCTATTTCATACACTACAGATGTGATATGCACATAACATAACATAATAACAGTTTTGTATTTTGGAAGATTTGGTAATAATCTGTGTTTTAATATTTTTAAAAATTTATCACTATTACACTCACATTCTACACGATACTAAGGTATTCTACTATGATACTATTCACTTTTATATTTTCTTTATTTCATTAAAATCTTCATTAAAATCATAAAATCATTAAAATCATAAAATTAAAAATTATTTTCATCAGAGCTATTTTTTTTATAGTCTTCATCTAAATCAAAGTTAACATTTTCATGCCTATTATTTAATCATTCATATCAAAATAACCTGAATTCTAAACAATAAAATTAATATTATTAGTAACATGAATAAAATAAAGAGAAATATAAAATTTCTTATTATTCACGCATCTTTCATTTGCGTCTATTTCTTATTCACTCATCATTGTACTCTTTGACAATTGTCATTTCTAACCTTTGTTAAAATTTTCATTGCTAAACTGTTCTGCAAGTTTTCTTTTCTTTGCTCCATATTTTTATATGCATTCAGATTTCATTTTTATTTAATTTTATATATAAGCATAATCAAACTGTAATGACCTAAATTATATAATTATATAATTTATATTTTATTTAGTTTATAGAATTTAATTATTTATTTTGATAGAAATATTAATTTAAAATAAAATTTAACGGTCCATTTCCTGATAGAAATTTCGTTACTATCTAGAATTACTGATATTTCTTTTAGATACTGCATAGCAACTGGGCAAAATTTGTTAAAGCAATTTTACCCTATAATATGTAGGTAAAATCTTTACAAGATTTATCGTTAATAAAAAATTTATCGTTATAAAATTTTTTTTATTAGTTTTTAATCGGTACATGTCGGCATGTTACTCACCAGGTATATACACAGAGATCGCAACTGTGTAGAAAAGAAAGCGTCGAAAAACGATGCGAGTAAAGGACAGAGATACCTCTCCACACTTTGCTTAATGCCAAAAAGATTCTTTATTTTGCAAGTTAATAAATCCAAAGTCAAATGAATCTGGATCTGAAAAATAAATTGAGCAGAGCACGCGTTCATGCAATACATATCACAGTAAAAAGAAAAAGAAAAATTAATGTGAGAAAGCAATAAATTAAAGAAAATTAATAAATGCAAATTATTAAGAAAAAATACATACAAGCAGTAGGAAAGCCCGTTAAACAAATGACAGAAAAAATGCAAGAAAGAGAATAATTACACTGGTAAAGTATAAGAAGCATGTAACTCATACAAGACAGCGAGACGTATTGAGCTACGCAATATTGAAGCGCCCGACCTCTCGATAAGAGATAAGGTGAGAGGGGAGGAAGGAAAAGAAATTCAGGAACGGATCATGTATGAAAATAGTTTGAAATCGTAGGAAATAAAAGGTGATTTACGGTCGGAAAGATTTAATGATTGGAAGGTAGATTTTGTCGAATTTTTCTGTATCATTTTAAACATTTAAACCATTATCCTGTCGTGTAATGTGAATCATTTCTGAAATAATCCTCCTAAGGAACGAAGGATCTTGATCCAAAATTTTGACGTTGTTCCATGAAAATTCATGTCCCAAAATTTATCGCAATTTTTTGTATCTGATAGAATATCGTTTGTCACAGCTAGAATTTATAGCAGTAACATTCTAGCAATATCTGCTAGAAAATTTAAATCCTATTGTTAGATATTAATCACTGCATTGGATAAATATGAGTTTCAATACTGCAGCAAGAATAATTTTTGTAAAAAATATAGCTACTCATTATAACTGCAGCAGCGATATAATATATCAATGTATTTTAGATATCATAGCTAACTTATTTTTATTCCATTGCCCGCATTTGATATTCATTTCTGCATGGATATTTATTCTATCTTCTACGATATATATATGAGAATTCATCATAAAAAAATTAACCGTCTGCGGTTAATTTTTGGAACTCTAGGGCTCCTCTCGTAAAAAGTGGAAGAGATGCGGCTATAACAGTCTTCGATATGCGCTCTTTGATCGATAAGCCATGACCTGCAGGTCTCGTCAACAACGTCAAAATTTTGGGAGGTCGGGCGATTCAATATTGCGTAACTCAATACATATACGTCTCGCTGTCTTGTATGAGTTACATGCCTCTTATACTTTACCAGTGTAATTACTCTCTTTCTTGCATTTTTTCTGTCATTTATTTAACGGACTTTCCTACTGCTATGTATTTTTTCTTAATAATTTGCATTTATTAATTTTCTTTAATTTATTGCTTTCTCACATTAATTTTTCTTTTTTCTTTTTCTTTTTACTGTGATATGTGTTGCATGAACGCGTGTTGCTCTGCAATTTATTTTTCAGATCCAGGTTCATTTGGCTTTGGATTTATTAACTTGCAAAATAAAGAATCTTTTTGGCATTAAGCAAAGTGTGGATAGCGTGCGGTATCTCTGTTCTTTACTCGCATGCTATCGTTTTTCGACGCTTTCTTTCCTACACAGTTGCGATCTCTGTATATATACCTGGTGAGTAACATGCCGACATGTAGGCATATCCACATCTATATTTTGTCATCCGAGAATTATAAATCTTTTTTTCTCTATTATATATTTTGATTTTATTATTGTATATTCTGCTACACTGATGAATATTTTATCTGCGCCGACTTTTTTTCATTAATTTGAATATTGACTGTGTATTTCGATTCAAATTCTGCAAACGTTATTATTTGCGAGCGACCTTCCACTCATTATATTTATATCTTTTGTATTTTCTATTATGTTAGCATTGAGAAGGATCTGGAAGATCGAAACGTTTGCGCGTACATCTGTAATTTACAAGTTATTTTAATAATTCTAACAATTTTTTGCATATTACATTTATACCTTGTGGTTTTTTTTGCCTAAATTATATTAATTATATTTCATTTAGATTTTATCTTTGAAACCAGTGTATCAATTGATTAATTTTTCCTTTTTATTTATAAACTAATATTCAAATATTCTGAATATATAGTAAATATTAATTCTTTATATGTATGGTTATAATATAATAAATTTATATATAAATCCAGAATTTTTAGTTTGAACTAGATAAAGAATAATGTTGTTAAAACAATAATAAATATTTTCTAAACAATCGGAGTAAAAATTTTTATGTCGTTTTGATTTAACTTAAACTGCTCAAAAATCTTCTTTCGGAAGGTGTATTCCTGTAAAAGTGGGTCGCAGTATGGGAAATTCCGTTGTGATGTGCCGGGAAGAGCGCGGAGACCTCGTTTCTTTCGCGAATAGCACAATGAGCGAAGAAATTCTCAAGGTTCCATGTCCTTCTCGTCAACCGCGTTTCTCTTACGCGTCATGATAAAGAGTGCAGATCTAACTGTAAAGTCTTAGACCGCTGGCTACGCAATAAAATTGCATAAAAGTACACATAGTCTACTTTAATAATAGAATAGTCCTTTTCCGTGATGCTGTCTCGCTCTTATCTTAATACTTACATTATATACCGGCGAACAATGGAAAATATGTGTCTTTTACAGAAAAAAGACCGTGGGGAGAGAATATTAAATGAAATTTCAGATGAATTCTGCCGTTTTAAACGAGCAGTAATTTACGCAACTGTACCTCTTACTACCATATCGTCCGACATCATATAATGGAAAATTATTCCGCGTCGAATAACATAGCTCCATGCTAATTATTGAGCATAGAGATTGAGTTTTTTCTTTTGCATGTCTCTTGGAACATTTAAATAAATGTTTGCGACTTATCATTTCGACTTATATAAATGAAAGATCCAAATGCAATAAAATAACATTTTTACATGTTAAAAGAAACCCATAGCATTAAGGTAATAAAAATATGATATAATTGTATGCGTTTTTATGCTTCTCTGTATTTATTTATATTTTTAGAAAACTTGTATGGAGATTATTGCTATTGGAAAATCTCCAGACTTGGATAGCTCGGGACCTCGGGTTTGCTATGCCCGTACTCACTATTGTGAGCCCCTGAGGAAAAATATGGAAAATTGCACAACTATATATAATGTATATTAATAATATAGATACATATATATAATACAGATACATGTATATATATAATATACATAATTTTATTTATTTTATCTCTCTTTTTTTCTCAGCCACTTGTTAATTATAAAATTGCAAAGCTACAATGCAACTCATTAATAATAAATAAATTTAAAAAATTACACGTAATTTATTTGTGTATCGTTATATTTATATATTTCATTGTGAAAATGTGTAAAACAAAAATGATCCATTACTTCATCACTGTTTATCCGATGCAACAATCTTGCAATAATTTTTTACGCGATCTCTTTCTCTCTCTTTCTTCCTCTCTCTATGCATATTGTTTACGAACTCGTATATATCTATGCATGCAACGTATCGCATGGGCTTTCATCTCTTGATTCTCATATAATGCATAATATATGGCCAAGTAGCCAGTTTTCTCGCGTGCGGCGTGCACATTATTTTACATTAATATCGTGTCGAAATAGCGGCGGTGTAAGCTCTTTTTTCGATGATAATGAAGAAAACTTTTGGTGACCGCAGCAATCCTAATTAAAACTGCGCGATGCAGTTATTTCTCTGGTGCTTTTTAATTTGTTCGAAGGCTTGTAAGGCTCTCGTTTTCATTTTATAATTTATTGGAAACAATCATTTTAACATGTTATTATCTTATCCGCAATATTTCGAATAGATAATACATATTGACTATTTTAAAGTATATTGTGTTCAAAAATACTATAGATAAGATTACGCGTTAAAATGTTTTTTTCTCACACATGTAGATATTTATTTAAGAGATAGGAGACACCGAAGATAAGTCCAGATAGATTCGTATAATTAAATTAATTAAAAAGCGGCGATTAAATTATTAGATTGATTATTTCGATAGATATATTAAATAATTATCAAAGTTCAATCTTCCATTAAACATCAAAAGTATTTTGATAGACCGAATTTTTTATTAGTTATTCTAACATTCCTGTAAACTTTAAAGGTATTCCCTTCTAATATTCCTGTAACTTTAAAGGCATTATTTCAGGCGGTCATCGCACTTTTCGCAGTGAAAATTGATCGTAAATGAAAGTCTATTCGGAACGGATAATTAGTTCCTTGATGAGCGCATAAACTAATTATCCGGCACAAGGCAAGATTAATGCAACCACCGTGCGTTTCGCTCATTATCTTGGCCTCAGAACTTAACTGCAGATATGTATGCTTGATGTGAGCCTGTGCAGTTCAAGAGAAATCAATCATTTAACAAATTGACGCGGCCATATCAGAGATGGCGTAATCGTGATATAATTGAAATAGCAGCATTTTTACTCAATCACAGTTTAATTATATTACGAAACTAAAGAATGATTTCATTGATAAAACACACAGGCGTAACAAATAGATTTTTTCATCTGTTTAAAACGCTGTCGAATTGTATCGCGCATCATCTCTTGTAAAGACTCACGTAAGACTAGTATACGAGTCGTGTCGGTCCTCGAGTAGATTGCCAAAGACCTTCTGCGGCCGTATAACAAGATTCGATTATGGTAAATCTCGTAAACTTCCAATATTACGGCTGAGAAAGCAATACTCGCTTGTCCGATAGGAGGAGAAAAGGAGGGAAAAGTAAAGGCTTCCCTCGTTTATCCCTCTAGAGCATCCATCCTTCGCTCTTTCTTAGCTACCTCATCTTCTTCATCTCTTCGCGGAGGCAAAAAACTCTCGCCCTCAGAACAATCTCTAATCTTCATAAAAGCAACGCCGCGAGACAAACACGGATCTCTTATTATGGCGAGACAAAGTCGTGTCCGATTAGTGACATCTTATTCTCAGAGCTTTCCAAAAATAATAATGTTCTCTGACAAGGAGCAGAGAAAGGTATTATCGCATTACCTCATTATTTTAGAGATAAACCGCATTTTCTAAAAACTATGTCACAGGGGGAAAAATGATCCATCCTTAAGAATCTACAGCGAGATATCTCTGTCGCAGATTCTTAAAGAGTTTCTAAAGTAAAAATTTCTACAACAAAAATTATTCGAAATTTTGCAAAAATTTATATACGATACAATAATGACTAATTTCCTCGATCGCGTTGAGAAACCCTGCTAATGCTCACGCATGCTTTGACTCCAATTAACACAACCCCAAAGGCTTTACCTACCAAATCGTTCATACCATGTGTTGCCTATGTGTATAAACCCCAAATGCAATTAACACAGTTGCGAACCATTACTTACTGGTAATT